GGATTAAATTCCACTTGTCTGTTTTTCAGTTCTTCTATAATTTCACCTTTGTTTAAATTTTGAATCCATCCAGTGCCTTTTTTATCGGGCATTGGTTTTTCTGGGAATAGCTTATGTGTTTGTTACGAACAAGACGATCACTACACGGTCAATTATTAGTACAGTCGGCCCCCGGTATACGCGGGAGATAGGTTCCTGAAAGGTACCGCGTATACCGAAACCGCGTATACTGGGACCCATGGCTTATGGGAAAAAGGGGGATACGTTCTTGCGGAAGAAAATTTAGTCACTTTTATACAAATTTTTTTTCATTTCTTAAAATATGCGGTAATTTCGGTTTGTTTCATTGTCCGAGAATAGTTTTTATATAAGTCTTCGTAAACTTGTAGAGCTAATTCACAGTTATGCTTAAGGAGGCTCTTTCGGTGTAAGTTTTCTCACAGTGAGAGAGCGCCGAGATCATGCATGATGCAGTACGCACGGCAGTGCGCATGCGCCGCGCGGCTCAATTTCCAGTCCGAGCTGTCAGTTGATGCGTCGTCTGTATTGCTGATATACTTTAAATTTGTATAAAATAAATTGTTTAAACAATTTCTGTATCTATAGTTTTAATAATTAAATCGATTTGTTATGAAATTAAAACAAATTTATACTTTTCGTCAATTGAAATTGTAACTTTCAGTTTAGGGCGATTTTGAATTTCGCGCGCATAGGGTGCTACGCGGGTGCCGCGTCATTTCAGCGTGCATCACGAAACCGAACATTCAACGTGTAATATCTTCTAAACTAGCATGTTTACCCCAATTTCTCAAGATCCTATCGTAATTAGTATAATTTTTTTTTTCAGGAAATACTACTTTTATCATGATGGTCCATTTCTACGAAAAGTTATTAACAAAAATAGGTGACCTCCCATAAGAGCCCCGTGTTCAAAGTGCGATTTTCAAAGTCATTTTTCTCGGAAACAAGCATGTTTACCCATATATGTATTTTTTTAAAATGATTTGTACAATTCTTACGAATCGATTGATATAGGTTTCATGAAGATGGTCCATCTATAAAATTATCGAAAGAGCCTCCTTAAACCGTAACGATCTAATAATGATCGAATCGTGTGACATGGCTTCGTCGATTGCATTCTGTATTGAATCAATAATAATCTTCAATTTACTGAAGTGAAATTGCTGTTCCGAATCATCTTTTTTTTTATATCTTCTTGAACTGTTTCGTCAGCCTGAATAACAATTTCTTCAATATCTGCAACAGTTGTAAAACCTCAGATCCCGGTAAAATAAAATGTATCAAGTGTACTGAGAGATTACGATAATCATAACAATAAAATAAACATATAGTATCATGAACATTGCCTCAGTTTAAAGCATTCGTGTATAGCAAGTCGAAAAAACCGTGTATAGCGCGGGAATGCACATTTAGCCAACCGCGTATGAGCAAAATCCGCGTATACCGAAACCGCGTATACCGTGGGCTGACTGTATCGCACTTTTACACTTTACTCTGAACGATTTTCAATATCGCACCATCTTACGATAGTTTCACTAAATGATTTTTCAGTTTTCCTACGACACTAGAAATACGTGTGTTCTTAATTATCCTCGTCACCAGTTGTTACGTCTTGAGAGAGAGAGGGTTGAATGGAACCACAGTGTGATATAATTAAATAAATATTTATTTTTATAAGTAACAGTAATAAGTAATGAGTACAGAGGCTCTTGTGCGCTCAGAGCTCTACCTACGACTGAGCATTATCAGTGCGTGACAGGCTGCGTAAAACCAGCGCCCGGTCGGTAATAGCACCTAGTGTACCGAGTTTACATTACGCGCGAAATCTGTGATGAATACATCACAGTAGAAAACCCCTATTCCGCGATACTGAGTTTGTAGTTGGCGGATGGTTCTTAAAACTTTTTTTCATCTTCGAGGATTCGCTCGTACTCTTGACTCAACTCAACGGCCTCGACGATCGTCCGTGGTCAATGAAGCGCCCATACCCATTTCGCAATTTTGGAAGAACATTCCCACCAGTTCTTCGTCCTGTGGGCGTTGTTTCAGATATCTTACAAGTTGAAGAAAATAATCTGCGTAATCGGCAATTTTTTGCCCTTTGCCTGGGTACGGCGATCAATATCCCGCCGAATCGTTGTGTTGCAAAGCATTTTCACGTATCGAGCTTCGAAGGCCTTCTGAAATTGGATCCAGGTCATTAAGTCCCGCTTGTTCTCGTGGAACCACCTTTGGGACTTGCCCTTGAGAACAGCGGGCATGGCGTTAAGCAGCTTATCTGTAGGGTTGTCGTTGCTCGCCCTGCAATCTCGCACATTTTCGAGGAAATTCCAGGGTTCCTTCCGGTTCTCGCCATCGAATGACAATTGCCAACTTTGCAGAACCTTCGTGGCCTGTAGGCCTGTCATTCGGATAAATCGTCTCGGGGCCCGATAGGACGATCGTTTCTCGCGTTTATAGGACGCATCCCGGTCGTTCCTTTGGTTTCTTCGGTCCAAATTAGACCCTCTAGTCTTCTCGAGCCCCACTTTTCTTATGATCGACCCTTCATCGTCTTCTGTCTCGGGTTCCGGTTCTTGTTCGTCCGATCGTCCCCGATTCCTTTGGCGATTCGTCCGATCTACATCTGCTCTATTTGATCTTCGGTCTCCCACCCTATCTCTTCGCTTTTGTTCTTCGTCATCGATCTTCACTACCGGTTTATCTTTACGGTCACCCTGGGTATAACTGATTTCTTTTCGGCGAGTTCGCCATGTAGTTCGGGTCGTATTGCTAGGCTAAGTCCTTTCTTCAGCACCCAAACGCGGGAGATTGTATCGTGATGAGCCTTGTCCGTCAGCCGCTAAACATGCGACTCCTAACGGTGGCGTTTGGACCCAGATGCTGTCTCGCTCGCTGAAGCTCAGCCCCGCCATCGACTCATCCTATCGATGGTGCCATCGTAAATTGTGCAGACACGGTAGTGGTTGGACTGCTCCGTGCGGCCATGTGCTGGGTAGTCGAAGTCGTATATGTCACTGGTGAACTCGTCGTAGCGGGCGTCATTGTGTTCGTGGGTATCTTCGCACCCACTTCTTCCTCTTTTTCATCGTCCTCCTCGTCTTCGAGATCTGAGACAGTCAGCTGATCTATTCGTTGAGATGATTGGCACCGAGGAATTAAGAATTGATACCCAAAAGTGTTCAGGAAAGCATGCCCAAGATTCCGTCTTCCACAGGGAATCAGGGCGGAAGTTATTTAGGGTGAATTGCCCGTATCTCAGAGCTCTGCCCAGCCAACTCTGTCTCGGTCCTAGCCAACTTCCAGGCGTTCAAAATTGCGATAACTTGACTTGGGTTCAAACCCTTGGGATAATCTCCTTGATCTTCAGAGCAAGGTTGCCCACACTGTCTGGGCAAGATACTATATCCTTCTCCCCGTGTCGAATAAGAGCCCGGAATAAGGTTAACTAAAACCGAAGATGCAAAAGGACAACGAGCGACAGAAAAGTAATTGCTAAACAAGACTTCACGGAGGCGAAAAACAGGGACAACTAGGTACAAAAACTTTTGACTCAGTGGCAGGGTCCGCGTTACTTGAAGCAAAGGGCTTCACTTTCTGTTTTATTTTAGCGTTGTAGCCCTCAGGCTCGTAAGGGTAAAAGCAGACTATAAGCAAAAAGTCATAAAATCGGGCGATAGTTTCTTAAAAAGCAAACCCACTCCAAGCAAAGTAGTGATTTAAAAAATCTTTTCAATTGGCCGGAAAACCACTTTAAATTGCCCAATGGGCGAAGATTTACAATAATACGCGAGGAGACACAAGTTTCGACCTATCTTTACTTCCAACTTTGCGCACTATGGGCACGCTCGGCGCTTTTGCCGATCATATCTCGTAATCTATAGAAGAAATCTATAGAGGCTACCGGCATAAAATTGACGCCAAAATTTTGCAACAGTTACTCCGAAAAAATCAGCGTAAATTTCGTTCCAGTAGCTTCTACAGATTTTTCTGAATACAGTAAAGAAAAAGAAAAAATGTGATTTCTTGAGAACCCGAAGCTGAACTACTGAATTTTCAGCTACAAAAACAGATCCCGCAAAAACAGCTGTATCTCGGCCGAATTAATCCCGTTTAAAAATCTAAATATGGAGTGGAAAGGCGAGACAAAAACTTATCAAACGATGCATTGACATTATTTTAATAGGTGATTGTGCTGAGCCGTTTTTTTTTTAAGAAACGAATGCACTATTCTCGATTGACACAAAAACCACGTTTTTCGGCACAAAGTTGCTCATTATATCTGAAATAATGCACTAATCTCAGCCAGGTGCCTCTGAAAGGTGATAAAATTTTGCATCTAAATACGTGTCACTTGTAGTTGTCAAAATTTTTTGGAGTTGGCTCAGACATTCAAAGAAAAAAAATTGAACGTCAAATCTTATTTAAATCGGAAATCAAAATGCTCGTTGAGCGAACAGTAAAGATTATTTAAATGGGCTAAAATTTTTGTGTGATACATTTTTAGGCATATGGAAGACATTAAGATTGTAAAATCAAGGTTTTGAAAACCTTCGATTTTTTTGAATGAGGCCCATTTGATGCTCTTCTTGCGAAACTTAGAAAACCTCTGAAAAAGGGTATTGGACGATTCAAAAAATTCTGAAAAAACGTAAACAAATTCTTTGAAAAATTTCAAAACTTTTGATCCGTCCATTTTTTTGTTAAAGTGCTCCTATCTTGACACAGAAAATATCAAACATTTTTAAATAAAAGAAAAAACCACTTTTAAAATGGGCTCTATGGTCCATTCAATAAAACTAAGCATAGGGAGTTTTTTTATTAGGTTCCTGGAGACCCCAAAAAAATGTTGGTAATGATCCGTGACCAAAGTCATGTCATAATTCAAGTCAATCCTATCTTGTACTTTTATCTTATTTTTTCGGAATATTGTACTCTTATCTCTCAAAACTAAATAAACATATGATTAAAATTTTCAGACATTGGAGCATACCATTGAGTCGCCGATTTCGTTCCTTGAAACTATGGTTCGTGATACGAAACTATGGGATATCAGGTTTACAGAAATATATCAGGAATCATATAAAATTGGCAAAACGATTCGAGTCATTGGTAAAAAAAGACAGTAGATTTGAATTGTGCAATAAAGTTGTGGTATGTATATTTGTAATTTATGTATTAAAATGAATGTAAAAATTATCATGAATTTTCGATTTTACTTTAATGCAGTTTTTCCCACCAGGCGCGCTCTCGACGCTCGTATCTCGTGATGTGAAGACCTAATCGGCCGAGTCAAGATGGTCGCGTACGCATTTGAACTATTTTACGGCCAATCAGCGTACTACCTCGTATGCCCCAAGATCTGCGAAACATTATTTCTGAATAGATTAAAACCTATAATAACTGCAAAAAAATCTGATTTCTCTAGATGAATTTGATTTCCGACAACAACACTCTACCATCGAACAGATAAATTGGATAACATTGGAAATATGAAGAGCCTTTAAACCCAAGAAATGCTATTCCGTTATTTTCTTCGACGTTGCGCAGGCCAATAACAAGATCTTACACCAGAGCCTGATATATAAGTCAAGAAAAACTTCCCCAAATGCTTCAAAGAGATGCTAACAACATACCTCGAATGAAGAATATTCCAATTAAGAGTAAACAACCACGTTAAGGACATCTACGAAATGAAAGCGGGAATGCCTCAAGGTTGTGTTCTCGGGCCTACGTTGTATCTGCTAAAAATATAATGACGGCGTCATGGGTAGATGACTCGGCCTTGCTAAGCTCAAACGCAAATCCTAGCAGAGTCTGAGAGAACTTGCAACTCCACTTGCAGAAAATCGAAACATTGTCAAGAAGCTGGCGTATTCGCATCAACGAAAAAAAAATCGGATCATGCACATGCTTATTACCTTCACCTTACGCAAAGAAGATTGTCTTGGAGTAAAGTTTAACCAAACTCTTGTACTACAAAGCCCTGATGTTAAATAGTTTAGCTTGAATCTAGACCACCGTCTGACTTGAAAAGCTCTCATCTGGCTGAAAAGAAAACCACTAGGCTTAAAGCTACGTAAAATGTACTGGTTGCTGGGCAGAAAGTCAGCGATTTCTCTTGATAACAAACTTATACTCTAAAAGACGGTTCCTAAGCCAATCTGGACATACAGTATCCAACTATGAAGTACTGCAAGTCCAAAAAACACTGTGGTGTCTGGTCAATGCACCGTGGTATGTGTGATGGATTATACCTCAAGTAAAAGTATGTCCACTCGAGACGACATCCACTGGTAACTGCGAACGGGTAAAAGAGGGGAAACTGCCTAATATTAAGGACTAGCATAGGATCGTGTGAAAAGAAAAAAATTGTGTTTTACTGTCACACGAATGACTCCTAAATCATTGAATGCTGTACACCGAGAAATCAACGGTGACTTACAATAGGTATCTCGCAAATGGTCAACCACTTGGCCAGATGTGGACTCGAAATAAACAAGGGTAGACGAGCAAAGCTGCAAGGTCCTTTTCAGGTACAACAACGTTGAGCACGCACACATACACGAACTCTTTGGCTATCGGCAGTCTATCAGTTGTGTAACAAGCACTAGCACATTGTGAATCAGCGCAACTCTCGCTCGCTGCCCATAAGTCCCCATTCAGTCACTGCTCGACGATGCCCACACAGCACGAAATATTTCAGAAAGTTTTCAGAAAGCTTTCAATGACAAGAATCGGACTTGTCAGAATGTTTTCATTGAAAGCTTTCAGAAAAGTTTACTATGTCCGCTCATTTTTTCTGTCTGAAACATTTCGATTAAACCTTTCTGAAGTTTTTCTTGAAACATAACTTTGAAACATTTCTGAAAGGTTTCTGAAAAGTTTCAAATCTATGAGTATGTGAATAAAAAAACTTATCAAAACCCTTTCAGAAACCTTTCAGAAAAATTTCAGAAACTTTTCAAAAACCTATCAGAAATGTTTCAAAGTCACATTTTAGAAAACATTTCAAAAAAATTTCATCGTAACTCACACAGCATACTATATTTCAGAAAGGTTTTTATTGAAACTTTTCATTAAAAAGTTTCTGAAAAGTTTTGGACACATTTCATAATGATAACTGAAACTTTTCTTTGAAATGTTTCAATGAGAGGTTTCAGAAAAGTTTCTGATACGATTCATGAAATGTTTCATGATTGTCCACATTGAAACATTTCAAGAAATATTTTTAAAACATTTCAGAAAGGTTTCTTAGCAAACAATTTTTTTCAAAGAATTGTATGTTTTCTTTGAAACGTTTCTAAAAAGTTTTTGACAATTTTCACGAAATGTTTCTATGTCGAACATTCAGAAACGTTTCCAAATATTTTTCTGAAACATTTCATAAAGATTTGTGGTCAAGGAATATTTTCGAAAATTTTTGTTTTCTTTGAAACATTTCTGAAAAGTTTTTGACAACTTTCACGAAATGTTTCTGTGTCGAACATTCAGAAACATTTCAAAATATATTTTTGAAACATTTCATGAAGGTTTCTAGGCAAGAATTGTTTTCAAAAATTTTCGTTTTCTTTAAAACATTTCCGAAAAGTTTGTGACAATTTTCACGAAATGTTTCTGTGTCGAACATTCAGAAACGTTTCAAAATATATTTCTGAAACATTCTATTAAGATTTTGGGGCAAGGTTCAATTTCGAACATTTTTGTTCTCTTTGAAACGCATCTGAAAAGTTTTTGACAACATTCACTTCAGAAAGGTTTCTTCGCAAGATTTATTTAAAAAATGTTTGGTTTCCTGGAAACATATCTAAAAGGTTTTTGATGACTTTAATAATACGTTCCTGTGTCGATAATTGTGTAAGGATTCAAAAGTTTTCCTGAAACCTTTCAGAATTGTTTCTTATGAAACTTTTTTGACAACTTTCATAAAACGTTTGTGGGCAAGACTCCTGAAAGGTGAGGATTCCAGGCGTACGCAATTTGATGCTCCTCTCTGAGTGGTGAGTTTCGTACACACGACGAGCCCGTGAGCAAAGAGCAGACCAGCCCACCCTTGAACCCAAGGCTAAACGGGGGGTCACTGCTTTTATACGACTTCCACTGCTCCTTCGTTGTAACATGCGTCATGGCGCAGCGCGTAAGTTTTTGCCTTTACAGCGATGGGCCTTTCATACTTCTTGTTTTATACATTATATATTTCTTTCCCCACCTTTGTCTTACATAACATATGTAGCAAAATCCGCAAATGTATTGTAATACATTTTTTTTTATCTAAATAAACTAAGCCCAAAAAAAATACCTTGTTTTCAAGGTCATGAGTGCTGATGTAAATCAACTCTAGGCCTCACATATTTATTTCATATTAATCCAATTATTTATTTTTTTTTTTTATAACGTTTAAGGAAAAATTTTTTTTCCCTCGTCAAGCAAATGTTTTGCTTTAAAAATCCAAAGTAAATAAATACCTATAAAAACCTGGGTGTGCAAAAGTAGTACACAATTTGAACTTTTTTCAGCTTGGATTAGTATGTTTTCGGATAAAGGGATCTGACACATTGAATCAAAAATTTTTAAGTGCAATTAATGCATCTGGGAAGTTACATATGGTTCCAGCGAAAGTCAATCATAGATATACTATAAGATTTGCCCTAGCTGCACCTAATGCATCTGATAAAGATGTTGGTAAGATAAATTCATTTATAAATCTTTAAATAGGCAATATATATTTCTGAGCAATTAATCCAAATGAAAAGCTCAGTAAGAATTTGATATTTGTTTAGTAATATTCATTAGCTGATTAAATATTTTTGAAATAATGCTATTTACTATACAATGTTATACATTTTTTATCTATTATATTATCACATAAAAAAGCTGGGAATCATAAAAATAAAAAGAAACCACCAAACTAGAAACTGAAAAATTAAGAAATCAGAAGAAAACTCAGAAAATCTCAACATTGGGATTTTCAGAGTTTTCTTTTTATTTCTTCATCTTTTAGATTTAAGTTTGGTGTTTTGTTTTGACTATTACTGGTATGATTAATGTTTTTGGATTTTTTTGTTTTTTACGTATTTAAATTTTGTTATTTTATTTTATTATTACTCGATTGATAAATGTCCTTTACTCAACTTTCAGCTTGTCATTCATCAATTAATTGACAAAGATGTTTCATGTCTTGCAGCGGTTCATAAACAGCTGGTTTTTTCATTTATATATATATTTTTTTTTTTTTAATTTTGATCATTGTTTTATTTTTGTTCAGGCATCCACGCTCTGTGCGTCGATACTATCGCGATGCCCGATAAGATGCGCAGAAATATGCGTGATTTGGAGTCCTGCAGTCTGGGCCCGCTTCGACTCATTGTTAAGCTTGCCTCGGTGCCGTGCGGATCGCGCGAAGAGAGAGCCCTCTCAAGCATCTCATTGCTACTCTGTTCTGTGTCCGCATGTGCTCCAGCCGCTAGGTCCGGTCCAGTCTTCAGGATACATAACCAAATCGGGGTATTCATCTACCAGGTCATATTTCAAGTCATTGGTTGTACTTCACCGCCAACTTAATTTATTCCTTTTTTCTTATTAATAATAAGCTCGATCTGAGCAATTAGTAAAATTATCCTGGTTATTTCATTTGCAACCCAGCCATTCCACCTCTTGCTCGAGTACCTTTTCAATTAGTTGCTCCGTTTCGTTTCGTACAGTACGATTGCACGTAAATCGTCAATAATTTTATTTATCAAATATTGAATTTTGTTGTCTTAATCAAACTACATTCATTAAATTAAACTTTCAGACTTTTATTTGTCTTCCTAAAGATAACTCTGAGATTTTTCGTAACCTAAGATCTAACGTTTTGAATGAAAAAAAAATCAAAAAACCTAGTCCGCTAACAGCGAGATTATATAATTTAATTTTGAAGTCAAAATGAACCTCTATAGTATGCTCTGTGATACAGGAACATTTCAAGTTTTTTAATAATTGTTTTTTTTTTTGTTAAAGGTCAAAAACAATAAAACCTTGACTTATTTGATCTGCTGCGTTGGAAGGGTGAATAATTTTAAGAATTGTATTTATTATAAAAAATAATAATGTTTATTTAAAGTCAAATGTGAAATATATGTACAAAAGATAACAAAAAAATAGTTGTATTTCAATAAGCTAGGCCCGATCAATCTCTTAGTACGGCTCGAGATATTGATTTTTCAGCGACGCCGAATGTAAATAGCCGACTCTTACCGTACGTCGTAAGAGCCGCGCTTTTCCAAAGGCAACTTAGCTAGCTGGCAGGCTACAAGGAACACTTGAGCGACAGCGAGCTTGGGTTGTCCCTACGACTGTCACTTTACAAGCGTCGTCAGCGAGCCGAGAACGAATTCTCTGACCGACAGCACTGTAAGCTCGCAGCTAGCCAAGAGATAAATCTCTTCGACCGCGAACTCAAGCGTCCTTGCACCTACCTCTAGCTTCTGCCAGCGATTCACACAATGCGGTGAGCCGAGCTTTAAGTTATGCAGAGAACCCACCTACTTTGATTGCGCGTGCGACTTCGTGAGTCGACACCCTCTAGCGATGGCGTTCTCAAACACATTGAGTCCCAAAAGAACGTTTGTTCAACACTTTCTACTGCCACTGTATTTTTTGTGAAAAAGGGGCTTTTAAAAACATGCAAGTAACTAATTCTAATGTAAAATTTAATGCCCTTGTAGAATTTGATCTCAGATTTTCGAAAAAATGATCATGTCAAGTTTTTTTTTTTTTTTTTTGAAATAAAGTACAATCTGTCCAGATAGGACAATAAGTACTTTTTTTTATTTATTTTTTTTTTTAAGATTTACAATATCCATACTACCAGGCAATATCAACCCGAGCGACATCCCGATGACTGCGCTCGTAAACTAGTAACTTAAAGCGTAAAGTATTTTGTTTTATTTTGTTTATAGCAAAGTTTTATAAAGCAATTCACGCCTCGATCTGCCTGCTCTTTGACAATCGAGACTGACGGTTCATGTTTGACTCGTGAAGAGCTCTTGCTAGGTGGTTCGGGTGAGACTGGAGTCTGCGGTCATATCGTTTGTAGAAGCTCTTGATCTCTTCTTGCACTGTACGAATCCTCAAGTCCTTTCTTAAGTAGTCATTTGGTACGTACCAGGGCGCATCGACTATGGTACGTAAGACCTTGTTTTGAAGTCTTTCAAAAATATCTGTGTTAGATTTTGCTGCTGTACCCCACGGGTTTGATTACGGCTAAATATAGCCGAATTTTGTTGTCAATACTTAGCTGAGACTTTCTTCCCAAGAGCCAGTATAACTTTTTAATTTTTAGATTCAGATGTTTCCTTTTACTCCATATGTGAGTGCGCCATGTAAGCCTCCGGTCGAGATGCATTCCAAGATATTTTATCTGCTGGTCTTGTGCGATATTTTTATTGTTAAATTTGATTGGAGGGCAAGTGCTTTTACATAGCGTGAAAGTGATGTTCGTTGATTTTTCTTCGTTCACTTTTATTCGCCAAATTTTGAACCAATCTTCGGCTATATCTAAGAAGCTCTACATCGTCACTGAAGCAGCTTGATTATCTTTATTGAAGTACAAGAGGGCCGTGTCATCCGCATATGTAGCTACGGTGATATCCTGGACCTCAGGGAAATTCGCTGTAAACAGTAAGTAAATCGTTGGACCGAGGATACTACCCTGTGGCACACCGGCTTGGATGGGATAGAACGAAGAGTAATGACCGCCATACTGAACTCTGAACGTTCTATCTTGTAAGTAAGACTTAAGTAGCGCAAATAATTTGCTGGGAAGGCATTTTTTTAGTTTATTTAGTAGTCCTTCATGCCACACCCTGTCGAAGGCCTGGGATATGTCGAGGAAAACTGCATTGCAGTATTCCTTTCTTTCAAAAGTACTTCTTATATAAGATGTGATTCTGTTTACTTGCTCTATAGTTGAGTGCTTGCCTCGAAAACCGAATTGATAGTCTGGTACGAGTGAGTTCTCTACGATGATCTTGTTTAATCTACGTGAAATTGTGGACTCAATGATTTTTGACAAAACGGGCAGTAGACTTATGGGTCTATATGACGAGACTGCAGGAGGGTCTTTGCCAGGCTTTTCAATCAGAATTACTTGGGCAGCCTTGAGCTGCTTGCGAAAATAATTCAGACGAAAAGACGCATTTATAATGATGGTGATAAATCTGAGAGCTTTCAGGGGCAACTCTTTAAACATCCTTCCCGTGATGCCGTCATATCCTGGAGCTTTCTTATTTTTTAGACTTGTGATAATTTGTGCGATTTCATCTAATTCTATATGAATCGCACTGTCATGTAAATTATTTTGTGAAGTAGCGTTGCCTAGTATCTCCTCCTCCTGCTCTATAGAGATCATCCTATCTAGAGGAACAAAGGTGCTTTTTAAGTGTTCAGTGAATAAATTTACTTTATCCGTCCTTGCCCACTAATTATCCGGTTTTAGTATAGGAGGGACGTGTTGCTTCGGCCTCTTGAGGTATTTGGTCGCCTTCCATAACGAGTAGTCCGCGGTTTTGTCCGCCGTTATGAGGGTGAGGAATTTCTCTACACTCTCGTTTCTGAATTCTATTAATTTTTGCTTAAGATTTTTAGTTGATTTGTTTAATTTAGCCTTATCGATTGGAGCTCTCGTTCTTTGCAATATGCTCCGTAGATTTCTTTTTTCTTTGATAAGTGCTTTGATTTTATATGGTAGGAACTGTGATTTTGCTCTGCTATTAATTGGCGGAGTTGCATAGCTAGCGGCTGCTTAAATACAAGTGTATAACATTTCAATAGCTGCATCGAGTTCCTTATCAGTACGCAGAGGTTCCGGTTTATATGCAGAAGAGAAATTCTTGGCTATATAAATAAATACTGGGGAATGATCCGATGAAAGATCAGCGCACGATTTTGCACTGCAGAGCTCCGGACTGAGCCCCCCAGTGATCGCAAAATCAATAAGATCTGGAATTTTTCTCGTGTTGGTGAGCCAGTACGTGGGTTCACCTGTTGCCACTACCGAAAATGTTTTTTCCTGAATCACTGAAAGCATACATCGTCCTCTTGCGTTGGGTGTATTAGCTCGAGAGCCCCACCACGGTTGTTTAGCATTATAGTCGCCAGCTGCAACGAATCTTCTACTGAGCATCTCAAAAAAACCGACAAAATGATCCCGGCTAACAGATATTCCGGGAGGACAGTATACGGCCGCAACAGTCCGGCTCCCTTCTTTATCCTCAATTACTACACTACTAGCCTGTAGATAAGCCTCGCTCGTCCGCGATTCCTCATGGTGCTTGATTGATGTTTTAATTATTACCGTTGTACCTCCACGAGCCTCGTTATCGGGAAAGTTTGAGCAGTAAGTTTCATAGTTTTTTATTTTTAAGTAATTTTTGTTATTAAAGTAAGTTTCAGACACGAGCGCAATGTCAACGTCGTGATACATATAGGTCTTGAGCTCGAGATATCGCTCAGAAAGACCGTTTGCATTCCAGACTACTATTTTAAGCTCCATTTTGTCTTGAGTTGTTATTCGATATTACATTTGTTAACAGGTTGATTAGTGTGTCAATCCGAGACATCATTTGGTTCATTAACTCCTCAAGTTTGTTTACACGTGAGTTAATATCCGACGTATAATTGTTGTTGTCATTTTGAGCTCG